CCCCAGCCTGTGTTAAGCAGTGTTAGTTTTGGGGACCCAGCCATGAGTAAAACAAACATTTTACCCCCCCTTGAGCAGAGGGAGCGAATGATGTAGTAGCAGACAGAAATGTTAAACCAATGTGCAGGCCTGGGGATGCATGAGGGAGCCCCCACAGCCCTGCAGTGACTGGCCTGGCTTCTGCATGGAAACCTGTGTGCACCAGTGTGTGTCTGTGCTGTGCCGTGTATGCCTGTGTGTATGCTGTGTAGGGAGGCTGTCTGCGGGTAGGTGCCCAGCTGCCCATGCCCAGTGTGGGGATGAGGTGTGTGTGTGAGGGGTGACCTACTGGGTAGTGTGTCCAGAATCCAGAGGTTTCCCAGGACACAAGGTAGAAGCCCTAAAATCAGACCTGTTGTGGGTGGGTCCCAAAATGTGGGACTTGAGGGGGGCTGCACACAGCCTAGCCAGGAGGACTGAGGAGCTAGTACAGAGCCAACTGGAAACCAGTCCCCGGAGACTGCACAGGCCTCCGAGGCCTAGGGGCTGTGGACAGGAGCCCTTGAGGCCCCAGGAAAGAACCTGCAGTGCCCGTGGTCAGACAGACAGACCCTGGTGTGGCTCCTGCGATCTCGGTCTCTCTGCAGCCTTAGGTGTTCTCTATGGAATGCAGACAAGCACCCCCCCACACACACACACACTGCCCCCCCCCCTAGCTCTGAGAACTGAGCAAGAACACGGATGCAGCATTAGGCGCCTCCTGAGGGACAGCTCCTTGCCAGGAGGCCAAGGACAACCTGTTCTTTCCGGGAGGAAAGAATGAACTGTTTTTTGGGCTAAGCGTGTGCCGGGTGCCACCTCAGGTCGCAGGCCTGTTCCCCTTCTTGCCTCGCCATGGACCCTGGCACACCCGGCTGGTGGCCCTTCCCTAGCTCAAAAGGACGCAGCCTCTGCTGGGGACATCCAGGGCCGGGCCGCTCAGGGCGCTTGGCCCAGCGCCTTCGCCCTTTCCCAGTGGCCAGGCTGATTCTCCCCCATCATCACTTCATCAGCGGCCGTTGCCCAACAAGCATCCCAGCCCACAGGACTGAGAAAGAGCCGCAGGGGGAGCGGCAAGGCGGGTTTGCGAAGCCGGACTCGTGGGCACTTGGGGTTCCCGCAAGCTTGGCGCCTTCAGATCGGTGGCATGTCGCGGCCACCGGGCTCCGCCCTCACCGTCCTGCTCCCACACCCTCACAGGCGACCCTTCCGATCCCCGGCCCTAGCGAGCAAGGGCGCAGACTCAGAGCCTTCCTTCCCTGGGCCTCGGAAGGCAGGGCCCTAGCTGGGGAGCCTCGAGTTCGGGCGCTGACGGGGCGGAGGCGAAACCCTGGGCGGGAGGAGCGTGGGCTCGGGGCGGCGCGGCGGGCGGCCTCCATTCCCCCAGCGCGCCCCGTCCAGGCGGGCGCGCGGCGGCGGATCCCAGCCCAGAGCTCTGCACCTCGTTGGCTGGGAAGGCCGGGGACGGGCGGACTCCCCAAGGGAGACGTCTGCCAAGGGCTGCAGCCCAGCCAGGCACGCGGGAAGGAGACCGGTGAGCGGTCAGACGCCGCCGATCGGGGAGTAGGCATTGCAGGGCGGCCCCCGAAAAGGGGAGAGGACGTGACCCGAGTCTCCTCAGTCCTCTCCCCGCCCGGAGCCTGGCCGTCAGGGAGTCCTCGGCTCCCCGGGGTCCCTCCGTGAGCTCCAGCTCCGGCCTGGGCGCGCCGCGCGGCCGAGGCCCGGCCCTAGCCTGGAGCGCCATCTCGTGGGCACGTGGGGGAGCCGCGGCGGCCTGCGGGTTAGGCGTCCCCGGCTCCCGGTGCGGCGCACGGACTGGCGGGCGGGACCAGGAGACCGGGCGGATCAGAGCAGTGGCCACCGACTCTGGGAATTCGAGGAATGGGATCGGGGTCCCGGATCCTACAATTGAGGACCCTGGAAGGAACTGCAAGAGCAGAAGGGCCCCAGCGTGCTGGCTCAGCCCTGGGGCCCAGCGTGCCTCCATGTGGTGGCTCTCCAAGCGCACAGGCGCCCCTCTCCACCGCTGCCCAGTCCCCAAGGCCACCGATCGCCCAGGCGCCTGCTGGACGGCGCCTGTCGGACCCGTGCTCAGCCTTCTGGGGATCCAGGACTGTGAAGGAAGGACGGACGCGGGATCGGGATTTGGGGGTGGGACGGAGGCAGGCTGGGGGTTCACACCTCGGTCTGATGAGATTGTCATTCACAGGGCCTTCCTATACCGGGGTAGTGGAGGTAGGGTCCCCGAGACGAGGACTGGCGCCTCCCCTCGCTCCAGGAGGGCCGTACGAGGAAGTCCACGGCCCGTGGGGTACCCCACTTTTGCAGCCCTCGAGAAGGCAGGGCCAGGCCACCAGAGCCCGGAACCGCCTCGTTCCCAGCGGGGCGCCTCCTTCACGCCCGAGGAAAGGAGTTCCCCTAGGTCACGGGTCCGGCAGTTTAGCCGCCAGGGGTCTCACGGAGGTCCCACCCACCCACAGCCGCAGTCCCCGGGTTCCCACCCAGACCCCACACTTCCGACACGCAGGGTCCCCGGGCGACGCGCGAGGTCCCCGGCAGCGTCCCCTCAGTTCCTACGACCCCCGCGCACGCCGGAGAGCTGGCGGCAGACCCCTAATGGTTAAGGAGGCCCTGGGTACCGCAGCGGCGGGTACGCCGGGCGCCTGCGCTAATTGGCGACCCCGGGGACAATGGGGACCGGCAGGCTGGGAAGGCGGGTGGCCTAATTGGGCTTTTGTCTGGGGTCGTCGGCCCAGGGTTCCCGTGGCCGCACTGGGACTTGCAGCGGGGGCCGAGCGCAGCGCGGGCTGGGAGCCCTGGAGAGGGGGACGCGTGCGGCGCGAGGCTGCGTGCGGCGGGAGGCTGCGTTCGCCCGCCCGCCCGCGGCCTCCGGGCCGTGCTGCCCCCTGGTGTCCACAGGCCGCCCGCTGCCCCGTCACGCCCCTGCTGTGTGCACTTTAGGGGCACGTTAACCTGAAACGACGTCGAGTAAACACTCGGTTTACGAAGGGCTCCCCGTGTGCTGCGAGGGGGGAAGGGACTTTCTGGCCCCCGCCAGGTTCCTGCCCTCAGGAATCCGCTTTCTGGGAGTGGAGACGGGATTTCTCGCACCGTCTCCCGCCCTAGTCCAGCTCCCCTCTCCACCCTCCCTGCCACCCGCACCCTCCACCCCGGCCGAAGTCAAGCGTGCCCTTGGGGCAGCCCCGTCCCTCCAAGGGGTGGACTTGCTCCTCTCCTCGCGGACGTGACGATCCTCCGGGGCGTCCGGGGCGTTCCGAGGCTCTGAACGGTGCGTCCCGCCTCGACCTTCACCGCTGCCTCCACGCCCACGCCACCGCCCCGCGTGGCCCGCGTGGTGAGTGGGTGACCAGCGCCTGCGCCGAACCCCGTGGTGACCAAGTGGGCGGCCTGCTCGCCCAGAGTGCCCAGGTTCAGGGAAGAGAGGGAGAGGAGGCAGGCGGGCTGCCCAGCGCGGCAGCGAGGGCCCTTGCCCACTGCCCGGTTCGGGGATGGAGGCGTCTGCGGTCCGTGAGGTGCGGGGCTCTCCGCTGCGGACAGGCGGGGGTCAAGAGCAAGGAGCATTCTAAGAGGAGCACGGCAGCCACGCCCTTGTGCAGGGGGAAACGGAGGCAGAGAAGCGTGGGGTTACGGAGCCTCCAGGAGGGACTTAAAGGACTGACAAGAACTTTTAGCCCTGACAGGAAAGTTCCTCCTCAAGGTTCAGATGGCGGAAGCAGAGAGGAGACTCGGGGGTCCGCTGTATTTGCGGAGGCTTTTGACTGTGGAGTCGAACCTCGGCTCGGGAAGGAGAGCTGAGGTCGCCAGGGACACCCACTTTCCCAGTCCACTCACCCCGAAGTGCCGAGCGGGGGTGCTTTCGCATTGTTTCCCCAGAGAGGGACACGGAGGCCCGGCCCTTGGCTGCGCCTCCCCTGACTCCCGCGCCTCTGGAGGGAGACGAGCGGCCCACAGAAGGCCAGCGGCCAGCAGAGGGAGCCCGGGCGCGCGGCGCACGAGGGGCGCACGAGGGGCGCACGAGGGGCGCGCGGCGGCACGGCGCCTCCCCTCCCCGCCCGCGCCCCGCGCCGGCGCCGCCCGCCACCCGGGAGGCGCGAGGGGCGCCTGGACTCCGGTCCCCGCCGAGTCCCTCACGCGCCGGCTGCGCCCCAGCCCCGCCGCGGTCCACAGAGCGCACTGTTCGCTTCGCGTTGTAGCGTTTTATTGTTTTCTCGTGTTTTTTTGTCGTTTCGTTCTCTCTCTGGAGCGAAAAGTGAAAACCTGAGGTGGAGCCCGCAGGCCGGGGCGAGCCGAGCCCGGGCCGAGGGGCCGAGAGGGGCTGGCAAAGGAAGGGGCCCCCGGGTGGACTCTGGGCCTTCTCCTGCCGCCAAGGGCACCCCACCCCCAGCCCTGTACAATATAGATGCTCATGTAAAATGAAAAAAAAATTAAACGCTGTGAGTTACTCTCTAAATATATGTACACAGCAATGTACACCTTTGAATAAATTAATACCAATTTGCATATTCTGGGGACCTTAAAGCTTATTTACACAAATTACCATTTATTTCATAAATATTCTTTCCCCCCATCCCATGGGGACTCAAGGCCTCTCCCTGCACTGCCCGGGTGCTGGGTGGGAAGGGCGCCGGACTCTCAAAGAGGCGGCAAACTAACAGGACACCCCTCCAGGTCAAGTCTACACTGCAGTCCTCACCCGCTCCAGCCATCCCCTGTATCCCCGTTTCCTTACGCAGCGGCCCAGGCTCAAGGCCAGGGTCTCTGGGACTCCCTCAGATGACCCCAGCCCCTTCTTCTTTCCGAGGCCCCCCTGCTCCCAGGGTGAGGCCTGTTCCAGAGCGTGGGAGGCCCGGAGAGCCCGCCATCGACACCTGCACACCGGAGCGGATCGGGACCGACCCCAGTCGCTCTGAAGTGACCTTGATTCCGACAACTCGATTCCCGGTTGCGGGTCAGGGACTTGTCCCACGGCCCCGGTGGCCAGATGAGGCTCTAGTTTGGCTGCTGCGGCCCGCTTTTGCTCCTTTATTTAAATAAATACCCATTCTGTGCTGTACACGTCCCAAGCAGCAGGGGCGCAGGCAGCCCGGGAGGTCTGCGCGGCGGCGGCAGCAGTGGCAGAGCGGCTGCTCAGCCCCCTCACTTGGGTGACTCCCCGCCGGGGGAGAGGGCTCGTTGGCTCTCCAGCCCACTCACCAGTCTCTGGATGCTCTGCAGTTCGCTGGCAGCCTCCTTGGTAGACCCACTGGGCGACAGGGTGCCACGGGCCGGACCCCCTACTTTGCGGAGGGCCAACTCGGGCAGGGGGCTGGGCTCGCGGCTGCTGCCGCTCGCAGCCTTGGAGCCCTCGGCCGCCAGGCCGGTGGCCAGGAGACTAGTGCTCGGCGGAATGGTGACCGGCATCTGGTAGGGGCTGAAGCGCAGGCGGGGCCGGGCACTGCCCAGGAACGGGCTCCGGGATAGGGAGCCCGCAGCGGCAGCAGCCGCCGCCGCAGCGCTGCTGGCGGGCAAGGCAGAGGCGGCGGCAGCTGCGGCTGCCATGTAGGTGTAGGGATAGGGGAAGAGGCCTCCGAAAGTGGGCATTGGAATTCCCTGAAAAACAGAGAACAAGGTGGAGGTTAGACAGCTTGCCGAGGGCCTTCTGGGGCAGGCTGGGTATGGAAGGTGCCCCCTCCATAAAGCAATCCTTGCCTCCTACTGTCTTGGAAATGGAAAGCCAGATCTCACACAACCCTGAGCTTTGGCAGACAGCACAGGCAGGCAAGAACCAGGGCGCCAGGGGCCATGGCCCAGTTCCACTGTAAGGTGCAATGACTGCAGGTTAGGATGCAAAGGCCTGGCAACACCAAGTTCTGGGCTGGGTATTAATTACAGGAGGTGGGGAGGGGGAAGGCAGAGGACATTCCAGGTGGCTGCACTAGCATGGGCAAAGGCCTGGAATCTTTGGTGAATAGTGCAGGCACAGGGCCAGGTAACACTCTGGCCTCTTCGACTGCCTGCAGAGGTCCTGCCAGGGAGGACAGTGTCCCTCACACCCCTGCTTGTCTATGAGTACCAGAGGAGCCTGGCTAGGGGAGCATGGGCTGAAGGGAAGCTTGGTCAGATCCCCTCCTGCCTTGGCCAGGAGCAGGGCACAGGTGCCAACCTGCTCATAGACTGGCCTACATAGGCTCCAAAGAACTCCTGGCAGGCCCTCAGTGCAGCTGGGGGAAGGCCCACAGGCCCCAGTAATGGGGGAGTATAGCAGCCAGGAAGCCCTGCCCACTCTGTGCCTGAGCTCTGGTGGCCACCACGTTCAGACAATTAAAAATCGTCCAACCTGTGCAAGAAGGGTTCCCTCCGCTAAGTGGCCTGGCCTGACTCAAGCTGGGAGAAAATAGCCTTCCAGAAGGGGGTCCAGCCCCCCTGCACACTCAGATGTCATTTTAGGTCTAGAGGAAAGAAAGGGCCCTCAGGACCTGCCTCCCCTCCCCACCACCAGGGTTCGGCCCTACCTGGTGGCTGGCCTGGGAACCTACCAGCAGCAGCTAGTGGGTTCTGGGAGCACGCACCCAGGCCTTGCACACCTGTAAGGCCCCTGCTGCTCACCAGTGGGTCTGGGGAGGATGCACCCTTCACACACAGCACCCCTGCCCCCCTTTCTGTACCACTTCCCTGCCCCGGCCCTGACCTCCATTCCCTGAAGGTTTCCCCTCCAGCACACTCCAGACTGACAATAGCCAGTGTGAGAAGACCAGTGCACACTCTGATGCTGAGCTGTTTACAACGCATCTCTGAACCAAAGGCACTTTCTCAAATCTGAACTCTTTTCCTGCTCCTGAGATAAGATCTCAAGGGTTCAATTTGCCAGAAACCTCAGAGGGAAGAAAATGAATGAAGAGATTCCAAATCTTTCCACAGGGGATATTCCACTCAAGTAACCAAAGAGGCTGTTCTCCCCATTGGATCTCCTTCTTATGCCGCTGGCCACATTTTCATAACCTGTCTCCTGGGAGCTCAGAATTTCATCTGGGCCCCAGGGCACTGAATCCCCTCCTATGCTGAGATGGGATGGGATGTGGGGAGGAGAGTGAGAGGGGGCTCAGGTGGAGGAAGCCCAGCCTGTCCTTGGTCTGGGAGGGGGACTTCTGAGAGGGACTGCAAAGAAAGAGGTGTCTGGAAGTGGGGTGCGTTTTGGTGGCCAGTGGTGAAAAAAATGGTGAAGGATTCACTCCTCCCTCTTTCTGTCACCCTAGACTCTCAGGATGGAGAGCAAGCCAGCAGTGTTTGTGTCCCTCCAAAGTTTTCTGGAACCAGGAGAGTGAACTTCCCAGGGCACCCCCCAGTCAGTGAGAAAGTATCTACCAGTGACTCCCAGCTGAGATTGTAGGGGAGCAAACAGGTCCAAAAAAGAGCAAGGACTTGACCAAGTGCACCCTGGAGTCAGGGCATCGCCATGGCCAGACCCACAACCTAGTTTTCCTCTCAGAATGCAGGTGGGATGGAAATCAGGTGGATTCTCCACCTTACCCCCTTGGAGTTTGTGCCAGCTGGAGGCTCCAGTGGCGCCCCTCAAATCCTCCGCCCACCTTAGTTCCGGCCCTCGCCCTCCTTTTTGCAGTCATGGCAACACAAGCCTTACCTGAGATGCCAGCATGTGCTGGGAGAGGTGGAACGGGAAGGGAGCTGCGGTACTCGCTGCGCTGGCTGCGGGACCCAGCCCGCCTGCATCCAGCCCCGTGGCAGTCCCAGGTCCTGCACCTCCACCGTTGCCGCCACCACCTGCTACCGAGGCCAGCAGGTGACCCATGCCCATGGCGGAGAAGGCGCCAGGGCCCATGGCGAACTGTCCTGGGTGAAGGAAGAGCGGCTGGCCGGCTCCTAAAGGCCCAAAGAATTGCTGCCCGTGCAGATGGCTGGAAAAGGCCAAGCCGGGCAGGTGTCCGGCACCCAGCGGGGACGCGCTGTCTGTCTGCACCACTAGTGGCGCCAAGCCAGGCTCTTTGCCTTCTGCCGTCTCCTTGCGCCCTTCGTCCTTCCTCCGGGCCTCGCCTCGCTCCTTTTCCAGGCTCCTCAGGCCAAACAGACTGTCTCCACCACTCTCGGCAGACTCCTTTCCCCTGTCGGGACTGCGCAGCTCTCTGGCACGTTCAGGTTCGGTCAAGCGTGGGGGACTGGCGCTGTCTTGAGCCTGGCTGCGGCCTAAAGCCACCCCGGTGCGCTCTTCCGTCAGCTGTTCTGGCTCCGGGTCGCTGTCTGCAGCGCACGACTTCTCCTCGGCTGTGGTTAGAGAGGATGACTGAATGAGAGACCTGGGCGGGCAGCGATGCTAAGCCTTTCCCCAGGGTCTGTACCCCGTTCGGGCGGCCTGGGATTGTCCGTCCTTGCGGAGGTCGAGTCCCAGGGATCCGGGATTTCGGGCGAGAGAGCGACTAGGAGTCACCTCAAGCAGGACCCCGTATTGACAGTGAAACCGAGCTTCGGTCCAGAGACCCGGACTGTCGAGTCCCACCAAGCGCCAGGGCCTGCGCTCTGAGCGCACCAGTAGCCACCGGGCTGGGGAGTGGGGGAGAGGTGCCGCACCGACTCATTTCTGACTCCCCCGTCTAACCCGGCCTTGCAAATGAAACCCGCTCGCTGACCTAAAGGCCAATCCGGGGCCTTGAGCGGTCCTTCCCCAGCGCCCGCTCCCCGCTCTGGTCTGGCCGCTCGACCCTCACCTCGGGCCCGCTGCAGGCGCAGGGGGCTGGGTGCTGCGCCCGGGGAAGGCGGCGGTTCCCGCGCAGTCGGAGGGTCGCAGGATGAGGTGTCCGAGTCGGCGCCATCGCGTTCAGGTTTGCAATGCTCCTCGTACAGCCGCAGCGTGGGCAACGTGAGCTGCTTCCTGGGGGCCAGCAAGCGAGCAGGTCAGCTCGGTGCGCGCCGGCCCGCTCCCCAGGGCACCCGCCGCGGGCCGGCCCGCTCAGCCCTCACCTTTTCTCGCGCCGACCGTTCCCGGTGTCTCGGAAGCCCTTGGCAAACGGATTGTTGTCAATCTTCAGCTGCGTAATCTGCGGGGTCGCGGGGGGGGGGGGGGGGGGGTGGAGAGGCGGGAAGAGGAAGGCTCTGGGTCAGGCCACGGCTCGACCAGAGGCCTCCGGCCAAAGAGAAGCCCCGGGTAGTGTCCACTTGGCAATACCCTTGCCTTCACCCCGCGCCAGCCCATGCGCCCAAAGTAAGGTGTCAGGGTCTCTCCCCCAGTAAGTTTATTCAAAGAATAATCTTCACGCACAGGCCCTAGTGGTTGAACTAGCTCAAGCCAGTAAACCAAACAGGCCTGCCCTCACCGCGAGTGAAACGCCACGCTCAGGAGCGGGCGCACACCTACCCGAGCCCCGTGCAGGCGAGCCCGCCCATACTCGCACCGATCCCCGCACGCACGGCCGGAGCGGACCTCTGCGCACACAGCACAAACTCGCGCTCACAGAACCAAATGAATTCACACATCTCAGCATGAATCCAACCATGCACGCGAGCCGGGCGGGTCCCCTGACCCACCAAGCCGAAAGGACCTCTGCTGCCACTGGGACCCCTTTGCTCTCCAAACAGTGGTGCACAAGGGCGCCTGCCTAGTGTGTGTGTGTATGGGGAGGTGTCTCTATCCCAGTGCATTGGGCGGTGGGGTGGTAGATATGTAGCCAGCAGGATAAATCCTTAAACTCGAGTGAAAATTCTCTGAGCGCTTCCCAAAGAGTCATGAGCCTGGCCAAACCGAAAGCAGCAGTAGCGTGGGATACTTGGGGAGGGGGCTGTCATCTGTTCCACCCTCTATCTCCCTTGGGAAAGTGAAAACTGGCCTCTAGTTCTAGTGTTGGTAAAGCCTGGGCAGAATGCCCCCGCGCCTTCGCTTCGCTTCATTTAAATTTTTATTCCTGAGCCAAGACATAAACGAATAAAACGTAAAAATGTCAGCACGGGCGCCTAGTTTCTGTTAATTACTAAGTAAATATCTGCCTGCGAACGAGCGCCCAGCTGTGGGTGTCTCTGGGGAGAGGGTGCATAGGTACCCTTGGGGCTGTGGGTGCCACGGCGGGGGGTGGGGGGGTGTGTGACCGGACAGAAGTGGTGAGCGACAGCCAAAGATGCGGGGTGGGGGGTGAGTGGAGTGCTGGAGTCTGCTGGAGGGAGGGGGCACCTGGGCATGCCACCGGCGCGCACCTTGTCATTCTGGTAAGCGGTGACCGCGATGAAGTCGGTTTCCGGGAAGACGTAAGTGCGGAAGGTGCTGTACGGTAACTTGAGGATGTCGTTGGCCCGCACGATGTGGAAGCGCGGCTGGTACTTGTGCATAGAGTTTAGGATGGTCTGCGGGGAGGGTGCGGGTCAGCCAGCAGCCCCCAGCCCCCGGTTCCAGTCTCCTGCTCTCCAGGGACCAGACCGCCCCTCTATCTCTCATTTTTTTGGTTCTGCCTCATTCCACTCTCATTTTTCCTAATGTACAGTTCTTTTTTTCTTTCTCTTACTTTTCTTTCTCACACCCGTTTTCTTTCACCTTTGATAAATTACTCCCCTACAAGTCAGAAATTAAAGGAAACAAAACAACAACGCAAAGCACGAAAGCTACCTATAGCTCATTTGTAACCTCTCTTCCTGGTTCCTCCTAGAAGAAAGCAGTGGGACCTTCCCCAGGTGATAGCTCACAGACTGCCCTACCTCACAAGGGGAATTTTCTTTTGTTCTATGGGCACCCCAGCCTAGCTTGCCGGGGCTCAGGCTAAGTGGAGAGCTCTCTAATATCCAGCTTGGGCACCTGTCTGTGCTAGGAGGGAAAGGTCTCAGCGAGGCTGGCTCAACATTTAAATCCTCTAGTCTTAAGGGAAGAATGAGGTATAAGCTGAAGTCATGAGCGTACCAACAATACAGGCCAGAAGTGGTTAACCGGCTGCGACCGGCCAGTCCCACAGCACCTGCCTCTTGCCTGACTTCAGGAGCTACTCTCAAAGGTCAGACAGGACCTGGAACTGGAAGTGGCCTGGAGCTTACTGGCCGCCACCCGCCAGGTCATTCCCCCAGGCCCTGCAGGTGTAGTTCACCAGGTGGTGTCCTGGGCAGGGGCATTCTGGGCCAAAAGATCCTGGCACCCAGCTCTTGCCCAGTTATAGGGTGGGGTGCTGGGCTTTTGGACCCCATCCCCACCTCTGTCCCACACTCACGAAGCCATGCTTGTCAGAGATGTTGTTGGTCAGTTTCAGTTTGTGGAAGGCCACAGGCTTAGCCATCCACTGCTCCCCAGTGGCCGGGCTGTCCGGGTGGATGTACATGCGTTTGGGCATCTCCGGGTCAGCCTTGCCTGCCACCATCCAGCGGGAGTTGTGGAACTTATAGCGGCAATCGTCGGCGGCCACAATGTCCATAAGCAGGATGTACTTGGCCTTCTTGTCCAGGCCACTGACTCGAACCTTGAAGGGGGGGAACATCCGCCTAGGAATGGGGGTAGGGGAGATGCCATTGGGATTTGTGTCCAGGACCCTTGTCCCCAGCTGTGCAGCAGTGCCTGGAAGGCCTACTCCAACCCCTGTGGTCCCTGTTCTGCCCTCTTGTTCCTCCCAGATCCCCTTTTTGGTAGCCAGACCGTCCCTTCCACGGCTTCCCCTTACCCCCCACCCCGCTGCTCAGATTTGGCGATCCTCTCTGTGATTCCCAGATGAAAGAAATCTGGGCCCTTGTAGAAATACATCAGGTTTCCTGAATCTTCCCGAACCTCCTTCAGGGTTTAACGCTCACTTGCAAGGGAAGCTCCCAAAGTAAGTTCAGAAGGTGTTGTTTTAGGTTGCAGAGCCTAACCAGGAACCTCCACCCTGAAGTTCGGGGGAAGAGGGTGAGCTCCAGGCCTGGATCCTCTGAAGCTGAGGCTGAGTGGCAGGGTGGAGGGTGGGGGACTGTGGCTTCCTGCTGGCTTTAAGGCCTGTGGTAGCACGGGTGTGCGTTCCTAGCTCCAAGTTCCGGCCAGGGAAAGACTCTAGGCCGCCTGGAACCACAGGCTCAGCTTCACTGCGGCCTCAGCCGAGAGCCGAGCGTTCGGCCTGGTGTGTGTGGTGCGTGGGGCCCGAATGAGGGCCCCGGGATCCAGGTAGAGAGCATGGGGGGACACTGAATCTGCTGGGAGCTCTGAGACCCACCCGAAGGCCGCAAAGTGAGGCCACGGGGTTGAAGACACCGGCCAAGACCGAGCCTCCAGGCCTTCTCGGCTTTGTGACCCAGAACGGTTCGGACTGTTCTTTTGGAGCAAAATTTCGTTTTATTTCATTCGTAGGATTTTGATGTTTTCATTTTTTAAAAAAATTCGCCCCGGTGCCAAAAGAGAAAAGCCAATGTAGTATCTTCTGCCGGAGCGAAGCAGGCGCAGGGGTGGACGGAAGCTCCGAGCCGCGAGTTGAGGGCACGGCGCTGACCGGTGCCGTGGGTCCCCAGCCAGCCCGCCCGCTCGCCCGCCGGCTCCCTACCTCCCAGACTTGGTGATGACCATCTCCGTGCCCAGCTTATGGAACTGGTCCCACAGTTCCTTGGCCTCCAGCGTCACCTTGGGGTCGTCCTCCACCTCGTCCTCCGGCTCCAGGCTCTTGAGCGAGCGCAGATGCGCGGCGGGCGGGTGCGGGCCGAGTGCCGAGACGTGCAGCCCCGCCTCGGCCGCCGCTGCGGCCGCTGCCGCTGCGGCCGCCGCCCCCGCCAGGCCCGGGTCGGGTAGCGGCTTGGCCAGCGCTCCGGGCGGTAGCGCGAGCGCCGGGAAGAAGGAAGGCTGCGCCGCCGCCAGGAAGGCGGACATGGGGAAGTCGGCGGGCCGTGGCGCGTGGAAAGGGTGGTAAGCCATGGCGCTGGCTGCCAGCGCCGGCTCTCTCATCGGGACATCCGGCCCAGGCGCCCGGGGGCCGGGGCCGGGGGCGCGCGGCTCGGACCCCCGGCCCGGGCGGCTGCGCGCTGAGGACGGACGGCTCTGGCCGCGGGCGCGGCAGCGGCTCCGCTCCTCTCTGCTCCTTGTCCCGCGCGGTCCGCAAAGGGGCGCGGGGCGCTCTGGGCGCGGGGGTGGAGGGGACTCCGCGCGCGGGGTTGGGCTGGGCTGGGCTGGCCCTCTCCGGCGCCGGGGACCACGCGCGACTGGTAAGATCTTGTCGTGATCTCTGGAAAACTGTGACTATCTCACATGTCCTGCTCTGCTCGGATCCCCTGCGCTAACGAGCCAGGCCCCCCTTGATTGCTGATTTTACGCTTTTTGGACCAATTGTGGGTCTCCGGGGGCGGGGTTTTGACAGCTCCGGCCAAGCTCCGGCCGAGGGAGGGGGACCAGGGAGAAGGTGTCGGAAGCCTCAGCAGTAAGAAAACATGTCAACAGAATAAAATATTAACCAATGACGGGCCGACGGGCCCCTAGACCCCTCCCCCTGCCCCGGCCCCCACCCCACCGCCTGCGCCCGTCGCCGCCGCCGGCGCGGGGACTGGAAAGCGTGGAGGGCCGACCTGACCTGGGACAGAGCCCGAGGCGGGGGGCCGTCTGGGTCCAGGAGCCTCGGAGAAAGACCCCCCAACCCCCCACCCCAGCCTCAGCCGGCCCCAAGTGCAAAGCATTGACACGGCCCCGTGAGGAGAGAGGGCGCCCTCCTCCTGCGCCCGGAGGCAAGGCCGCTCTGGCCCGCGCCCCAGCCCGGCCTCCGACCCCGCTCCCTGTCGCGGCGCCGCCCAGGGGACCCCGCTCTCCGGAGGGAGGCTGCGGGAGCTGGAAAGCGAGGCCGGTGGGCGGGTGAGTCGGGAGGCTTGGGCGGCCGAGGTCCCGGAGCAGAACCCAGGTAGCGCGAGTTGGTGAGTGGAACCACCGCAGCGTCCCCGAGGGGGCCGGCGCGGGCGGGAGCGGGACGTAACCCAGCACTCGGGAAGCACGGGGCATCCCTGGCCTGCCCTCCTCTTGTTGACGGACTCGGAGGAAACCTGGAGTTCCCAGCAGGCTCTGGACTCAGCTTTGGTCTGGGTCTGCAACCCAGCACCTGAGCCCTCGGGCGGTCAAGAAAGCAGTGGATCCTCGGGACTAGGAAGGGGAGCGCACTTTGGCAGGCGCGGGAATTGCCCAGCGCAGGTCGACCCCAGCTCGGTTTTTTCCGCCTGTGCCCAAGTGAATTTTCGCTGCACCCGGTACGGGAGACTGCACGTCCCTTTGATCAATTTGCACACCCGCGTCCTCCTTCTGCTCCGGGCCACTTAGGCTACTTTGGTGGCGTCTCGGAAGCGCAAGCCTCCCAGGTTCAAGAGTGCTAAGGAACGCAAGTGGGAGTCTGGGTGTCTGCGAGCCACCTGTAGTTGAGCCCCCTCTGGGATAGGTCCGTCTTCTGCCTTCTGGCAGCCCTAGGATTTTCACCCCCTCTCTCGCAGTGAGAGATAGGGGGTGGGAGAGACAGAGGCGCCTGGTGTGGTGCCGCAGCAAATTAAGGTGTGCGCAGGCAAAGGAAAGCGACCTCAGTACTTGCCTCCATTCGGGCTAGCGCTGGTTCCTGGAGGGCGCGTCTCGAGAGGCCACACGGCACCTGTTCTCACCGCCAGTGACCCTCCCGTCCCCCAGCCGCCCATACCTGTGCAGCTGAGTTGGACACACGCGGAGGGCACGTCCACTGCACACTCAGTGGTGCTCTACCCGCCGCTGCGCACCCTTTTGGGTCGTATTAGCCAAGGCGGGTTCTGGATCCCAGAGCCCGTTTGGTCTCTGAAACCGTTTTTCTACTTTTTGGAGCCAGCCCTGGGGCTCTCGCAGTTCCCCACAGCCGCCTTCCCGCAGCCGCTGGGTCTTTCCCTTCTGCCCAGAACGAAGCTTCTGGGGGGAACAAAGCTTCAGAGGGGCAGCGGCGGCGTCTACACAGCCAGGGCCAAAACCGTGTGGGCTTCGGCATGGGCTGGCGTCTAACCCTGCAGAGCAGTGTGTGTGTGTGGACACGTTTGTGGCCAGATAACCGCTGGGGCGGCTTTCTTCCACCATGTGCCCGAGTCGGGCCTGGGGGCTGTGTGTGTGTGTGTGTGTGTGTGTGTGTGTGTGTGTGTGTGTGTGTGTGTGTGTGTGTGGTAGTATTCGTTAGAAAGTGTGCGCCTTGAAGGATATGCATTTTGGACATTCTCCAGGGGGAAGAGTCCGAGGCTGGCCTGGTGTGTGTGGGGGGGGTCCCACAGGCTTGGGCTATTTGCTTACGAAACCCGTGGAGGCAGCACTTGGGGACCGCGATTCCACCTACACAGCCATAGGCTGTTCCCTCGGTGGTCACAGGCTTCGCTCTCGGGCTAGATCCCACCGTTTGCCCCGCCCCACCTTCCTTCTCTCTGCAGCTCCGGGGTCCTGCCACAAGCAAACCCCCTCTCCAAGAGCCGGCGCTGGGGAGGCCGGCGGCCCAGGAGCGGCGCCGGGCCCCTCCCCCGCCTCGCCCGCGCCCTGCCCCCTCCTGCTTCCCAGGAGCCGGCGCCCCAGAGGGAGTCCCCGGGCCGAGTGTGCGTGTCTCTTTAAGAGGCCCCGGGGGGCGCCTCGCGGGCCGCCCGGGGATGCAGGGGGAGGGCACGGGCGGGGGCGGTTGGCGCCAGGCGGCCGAGGCTCCACAACAAAGCTCCGGCCCCTGTCACTTCGCATCGGCTGGGCCCCACAGACGGGCGGGGGACGCGCGCTCAGCTGCCCCTCCCTCTCCCGGGCGGTCCCGGGCCCGGGCATCGGGCGGTGCAGCCTGGCGACCTCAGCCCTGGTGCGCGCGGCGGTCCGTCCACCCCCGCGCTTCCCGCAACCAGGAAACGAGGCGGGGTGGGTCTGGGCGCCAGCGGGGCCGCAGTCTCCCGCTAAAGGCCAGCCTAGTGGGGAAGGCGGGTGCCGCCTGCAGCGTCCTTGGGGTTAAGGGTCATGTCGAGGCCGTGCCCGGGGTTCCCGTTGGAGTCCTCGCCTGTGTGGTGGGGCTTGGGTTTGCGTGACCCGCGTGGAGGGACGGCGGCAAGTCTTGCAGGGGTGGGTGCTGTGGGCGACTGGCGCGAGGCTGGTACCCGCCTGCCGTGGCATGGGCAGCGCCTGGGTCCAGCGCGGGGCCGTGCGTGACAGTCTGGCGCTGCGGGCACACGCGCAAGTCCTTCCTTATACCCGGGGAGACTGAGGGCGGGCGTCCCCACCAGCACGCTCGGCTTCCCCCTGCCCGGCTTCTCCGCGGGCCCCATACCTCCCGGAGCCTTGGCGCCAGCCAGCCCGCTTTAGCGGCCCGGCTGGGCTCCCCCGCGGTCCCGGGTCTGGCTGAGATGGGGGCCGCGGCCTCGGTGACCCCAGCCCGCAGCGGCCCGGCTGTCCCGTCCACTTAAACAAATTGTGGCTGACAGGCGCGCAGTCTCTCTGGGGCCTCCGCCTGCCGCTCGCCTCCCTCCTGTCCCAATTACCCCGCGCAGGGCCGGCCGCTGGGCTGGGGCTGAGGGGTGGGGCCCGATGGCATGACCCCTCTTGGTGGCCGTGTGGCCGCCGTCTTGCACCAGGCCTGGCGGCGGGGACACTTCCTCCAGTTAGGCCCCGGGAAGTGCATCTGCCGGCCTGTGTGGCCGGGGCCCTGGTCTCCCCGGTGGCTGCAGAGGCGGGGCCCAGCTTATCTTCCCAGAGAGGGGACAGACCTGGCCTGGGGGAGGGGCGTCGCTCAGGGCCAGAATAGGAGAACCAGCTGCAGGTCACCTCATCCTGCCCTGCGTGACTTCCCCAGGGCCTGGGGATCGCTGAACGCTGGGGCTGCGAACCCGTGTTTCACAGCTGTGCACTTGGGACCTGGAGGCCAGGCCCCAGCGAGACTCGCACCTGTAAACTTGCTAGGGCACGGATGCGCGGCTTCGGGCAAGGAGATAAAGCTCAGGAAGAACTTCCAGGTCGGACCCACTTGCGGCTGGGGCACCGCCTGGCACCCCCCACTACCCCCACCCTCAGCCCAGGCTCTTGATTGCCTTCTCCAGGGAGCAGCTTGTGGTGGAAGAGTCACGTTGCAGGATGCAGCCCGGCCACCTATTCCCTCCCTGTGCCGCGCCATGGACTCCTTGGTACAACATCTCAAGCCTCTGCACCCAAACTCCCTTCCCCACCCTTTGTCCCCAGGCCCTTCCTTACACACAGATCCTTCCTTACCGAGGAAGACTCTGAAGCATCTGAGGTCCTGCAACTTCTGGGGCAGAGCTGGGATGGAGAACTAGCCCAGATGTACCCCCTCCCAGGAGCGGATGCCACCATGGCTGTGGAGCCAGCCTCCACCTTCTGCCTTGGCCTGGGCTCTGCAGGGAGGACACATAGATGGTATGCCTTCCCAGCTACACAGGGACAAGCAGTTTCACAGACAGGAAGGGAGCTTAAGGAGGGGTAGGGCACTGGAGTATGAGGGCAAGTCCTAAAAGGGAGGGGGACAGCTCAGATTGTGGCCCCCCAGGAAGGGGACTAGGTGCAAGGTGCAGACAGGGACTAGCTGACCAGCTGTGTGATTCTGTGGCCTTGGACAAGGCCCTGCCCTTATCTGGTTTCAGCCTGGCATTTGCAAAATGAGGATGGTTCAGTGCTGTTCTGGGTTAGACTCTGTGACCACTACTCAGGATCCATCTCCAGCTGTGGCCTGAGGCTGCCTGATTGGGCCCCTGCCTATGTCCCTGGGAGCTGTGTGTGCCTGGGTACCTTCTCCCATGAACCCCAGGCCCTCTTGGAGATGCCTCTCTGAGTCCCTCAGCTTCTTGATCCAGATTATGAAGTTACGTTTATCCTCCAATACATTGAGGAGTCCCTAGCAATTTGCCCAGAATCAGGTCCAGTAGTTTCCTTAAGGTCACTGGCCCACAGCTATTAGATTGATGTTTCAATGATGACCTCCTAGTTGATGCCTTCATGAGGTCACTGGCTGCTGGGGGTGAAGTGGAGATTGCCCTGGAGGTTACCTGTAGCCAACAATATATGGCACATCCAGGCCCAGTGGCAGTAAGGCAATACCCACCCCAGCTCAGGGCCCCAGCTCACACTTCCAGCTGATTGTGGCCTATGGCAGAGTCCTTGATGTCCCCAATTAGCCAGGGGCCAGGCCCAAGGCCTTTCTGATAACCTGAACTCCAGGGGCAGCCACCATGGGGCCTGGCTTATCTGGCCTCTCTTATCCCTGTCCCTCCTCCAAGAGTTGCCCTGACTGTAAGCAGATGAATAACCAGATTGTCCCGCCAAGTCTAGGAGACACCCACCACTTTCCCTGGCCGGAGGTGGCCACAGCTGTTTACCCCCACAGTAGGGGAAAGGCTAGGCAGGGGGATCTCCAGACTGTGAGCTGCCAATCCAAAGTCCCCTGTAGCAAGGTCTTTGCCCCAACCCTATGATATGCCCCAGGGTGAGCTCAGAGGGCTGCAGGCTTCCTGAACTTCTGGTCCCATCCATAGGGAACTGGGCGCCCTGCCCCCTGTCCCCATAGACAGGCAGGATGGTGGGGGCCACTCTAGGTACATTAGTGTCTCCAACTCATCTAAAGGGGGAAAAGGCTGTCACTCCTCCTGTGGGCCCCCTCTGTCTGCCCAGGCCCTCCACTGGCTCCAGCATGCCTCGCTCTAGTACACTTCCCCTGTGCAGTGTCCCAGTGGGAGGGACAGCCTGCACAGCCTAGTGTGACTCAGGCCCCTTTTTCCAAGTGACACAAGGAGGGGCTGGAGATTATCTGCTATGGGGTGAGAGGTGGGACAGGGTGTGTGGCTGGGGAGCTGCCCTGGCTCTGGTTGGAGGCGGGCTGGATGGGAAATCCTGCTTGTCTGTGACCCTGACTCCTCCACAGATGGTCATTAAACTTCAGCCCAACCATGCCTGGCTCCTTGGGTTTCCTTCAATCCTGCAAGGCCACCTGGGGTCTCTTGGAAGTGGCAGCCAGCACTTATCTTCTTGCCCAGCCTGTTTGCTCCCAGCCCCTCTCTCTTTGTTGCTTCTCATTTTGATACAGAATGGAGAGGAGGAGGGAACAAAACTGTCCTCATCTAAGATTTCAACAGAATTTTATGCATGACACCCACCTCCACCTGACTGCTCTTTCATCTTCTGAGTTTGAAAAGACACAATTCCCCAAAGAAATGCCCTAAAGATAAAGTCTCCCTGGCTTTTGTCAAGCTCTGATGCGTCTCACAGCCACCTGCCAGCACGCATCAAGGGCTGGGCAGGCCTTGACTGCCACCCAGTATGCACTAGCTGTGGTAACAGGTGAGGAGCGGGAGGACTTACGTTGGGCTTCACCCAAATTCCCAAGGAGAACTTGTCCTTTTCATTCCCAATGGTGCTCCATTCTCAGTTGCGCATTCAAGGGTTGGGATTCGGGAGCCAGGGCACAGGGTCAGGCCCACAGGGATCTGCTCAGGCTTTGGCAAGGCCCCTGATTCCAGCAACTCAGGGATGGACACCAATTGCAGCGTGATTTATTGGACGAGACGTGCACTTTCCGACAGGGCCTCGGTAACTACAGCTTCTTCCACTGAACAGCACGGAACCAGGGTAAAAGGGTGTAATGATCTGAAAGACCCTCCCTGTGAGCTGATAGGGAGGGGAGGCACTCCCTCCTTGGTACACTGGGCGTTGGCTCAAGCCATGCCACAGGTGATCAAGGGCAGCACAGGGGTAGAGTGTGTCACAGCTCAGAGGGCTGGGGCTGAGCCTGTCCATTCAGGCTCAAGTCCTTGGCTGGACCCAACTACCCCCTCCCAACCCAGTGTTCCAGGGCCCCTGTGGGTATGGTTAGAAAATACAAAAGCGGATCCAATGCAGGACATCAAATGCGAACGGAGATGGGGACTGAGCATCTGCAGTTTCTGAGGCCACAGCCCCCTGCCAAGCGGGCAGATGAGATCAGGATGTACTCTGGGTAGGGGGCTCTTCTCAAGATAGGTGGCTGATATCACCGGGCTTGGAGAAATGGTGACAACAGAGGAGCAGAGGCTGCAGGGTTAGGGTTGAGGTGTGGGAGCCTTTTCCCTTCTCTCCAGTGGGTGAGTGGGCTGGCTGGTCTGAAGCAGATTGCTGGGAACTATGGGAAACCAGTGGGGAAGAGGCTGAGGGGCTGACTCTCGTTGGTGGGGAGTGGAGATCGATAGCCGTCAAAGTTTCTCGGGATGCTGCCGCTGGTGGAACCTGAGCTGTTACTCAGAGTCTCGATGCTTCCCTCTCGCTGAAGCTCTGTAAGACAGAAGGCAGGGCCTGGTCAGAGCTGAGGCTGGAGTCAGGGGTGCACCCTGGGCCAGCCACCTGTCTGGAGGCCCTGTTCTGCCCCAGCCCACTTGCATCCTTCTGCAGGGAACGCCATGCTGCTCCCCAGAGTGGCCAGGCAGTAGGTCAGGTCCCAGGGAGGTGCAGCCAGCAAGCAGAGCTGCCCCTGCCCCTTGGCTGGCCCCATCCAGATTTGGATCATCTTTCCCTCCCTGCAGAAAAGCCCTTTAAGGCCAGGGGCACAGTTATCTGTGATTCATTGGGCCTGTGTCTGCACCTGCACTTGGCTGGCATTCCCTGCAGCTCCTTAATGCTGCCTCCCATCTCACATCTCCAGGAGAGGCAGGTGGGCAGAAGCCAGGACACGAGAAGGACTGTGGCTTCCCGGCCTGATCTGTGCCCATCTCTCCTTGCCTGTCTCGCCCACCCCTGCAGCCTGTGCCCTGGCTCAGTCACTCATTCTCATCCACTCAAGCAGCCTGCTGGCTGGGCCTTGGCTCATCTTTAGTACCTTCTGGAACATACTCCGTGACCCTGCAGCACAGGATGCTGGCTGTGAGGGGGCATGTTTCACTGCAGGGAGGTTCCCTGCTTGCTTGGAGCGCTGCCTTTCTCCCTTTCTTCCAGCCTCTGGGCCTCCTGGGCATCACTCAGAATATGCATGTTCAAATCAACCAGTAAAGCAGGTGGGAAGGCCCCAACCACTTGTGTCCCTTTCCCTGGCCCATGACACCATGAATTCAACAACTTGACCTTTCTCATTCCACTACAGGCATCTTAACTGTCCTATCCTCTCATTATCTGATATAGTCCTGGGCTGTGTGGACTGGGAATAGAATTTTCTGCTTGCTAAAGACAAGGAAGGAGGAATTACTTGTTGGCTCACTGCAGGTGACTGAGCCTTATTCCCTTTCAATCCCTTTCTGTGGGCTCCGAGATGTAGCCAGTCCTAGGCCTGGAAACTCTGTAGAGGCTGCTTGGAGCTGAGATGTGATGATATGCAGCCTACCCTTCTCTAAGGGATACCTGCCTGTGTCTGAGCAGGCTTGCCGATCCACTTACTCTAACTTCCCCCATCCTGCCCAGGGCCTCAAAAGTGGCCGCTGCAACCTGCAAGGTGTGCCTGGCCAGTATATTCAGCTAGCCTGGCTTTTAATTTCTTCCTCCAGCCTGCTGCTGCTCCTGGACCTCAGGCCCCATCCATATACAGCACAACTGGCTCTGCTTAGGGAAGGACTGGGTCATGGCCTTTCTTCCTGGGCCACCATCATCAGCCGGGCAGGAACCATCCACTGGCTCCTACTCCCTGCCAGCTGCCCCTGAAACACTGAAGCTGACAGAAGCCACAACTGCAGAATGGATAGGCAAAAGGAATGCATCTGCCCAGGCTGACAAGTGGGCCCAGGCCGAATGGGTGCACTAAGAAGCCAGGCCCGACCAGGGGTGGGAGGAGCAGGGCAGTGAAACGCAGGCTGAGGGCTGATTGCAGGGGCCCTGGTCTCCAGGAGACACCAGCTTTCCTGGGGCTGTGACCCTGGGGCAGTCAAGAGTTATCAGGAGAAGGACAGAGAAGTGGGCAGGCGCAGTTGGCTTGGGATCTCATCCTTCAGGGGTGCCCTGGCTTGGGGGTACAGACCATTGTGCCACCAGAGGAAGAGAACAGAAAAGCAAAGAATAGGTCCCAGAAATGCTACATAGAAGCTTTGGGCTCCAGGAGAGCTCCCTCTGCTTTCTTGTTTGTGGCAGGCAAGCCAAAGAGTTTGAGGCCCCATTTGGATTCAGAGGCCCTTATCCTCATGCATAACCATCCTGGCACTAGGGGGCGCTGACAGCAGGGCCAGGAGGGCAGGGAAGGTGCATGGAAGTAGCAAGAAAAACAGGGGCTTCCTTAGGATCAGCACACCAGGAGCAAGGAATAAAGCCCCAGGTGAAGGAGCAGGAAAGGCCGCGAGTTCAGGGGAGGCAGAACCCCTTTCCAGGGCTGCAGAGCAGCCTCTGTGGTTTTGACGCAAAAGCAGATCATCCATGCTGCTCCAGAAGCTGCGGGATCCAGAGTCTAGGACCATGCACAGCACCCGCATAACCCCCAGGTGCAGGCTCCCAGCAACACCCCAAGCAGCCCCAGTGGCCCCAGCACACAAGTGAGTGGATGCCTGCCCCAATTCCATCCATGGTGTGGCAGAGCCGAGACGGCTGTCAAGGCGATTCACAGGATGAATGTACAGCCCTCTGGCCCACATGTGGCCCCAGCCGCCAGGTTCCTGTTGTCCCACTACCCACCAGGCCCCAGGCTTCTCCTTTGCACACCTGCATCCCGGAGTACCAGGGACTCAGTGGGATTTGTTATGAGACGACTGTCTGCTGCCTCTGCCCTGGGGATCTGCCTGGATGGCCCACCTGGATCTTCTGAATCCCACCCACTCCTTGACCACAGGGGTCAGGCTGTAGCACAAACCTCGTGTTCTGCCCCAGATAAAAAACCTCCCTGGCTGCTCACAGCTTCTGGGGGAAGGTTTAAATTGCCCCACCTTGTCCCACTCAATGCTACCAACAGCAAGTTTGGGGCTCTGCCCCGCAGGTATTATCTGCCACTGTGTGCAAGAGGCCAGGCCAGGAGTGCTCCAGGCTGCAGGACACTCTGGGTCTGTGCTCATGCCACTTCCTTCAGTTGGGGGGGGGCTAGTAGCTCCCCTCTCCCAAAAGCTTAGCTTCAGGGCTCCTTCCTTAGCGAACCAGAACTGCTCCCTGGCAGAGCTGCCAGGCCTTCTAGCAGCTTGCAGGTGCCCTCCCCAGTAAGGTGGAGAGCTGGAGATGGGGAGGCATGCTGTGCTTTGTCTCTGCGACCTTACTGGAGGATCCCTGACAAGCACAGGGCAGCGAGCAGAGTGGAAGTTCAGTCTCCAGTATAGACATGACCGGGGAAGGTCCCCTGACTGCCTTCCTGGGCACCCTCTGCCATGCCTTCTCCCTGCTGAGAGTAGCACAGGAACAGGTGGGGCTGTGGAGGAGAGGAGGGGTGCATGAGCCCCCACCCCATGGAGCTATCCCACTGCCCGCCCTGGACGACTACAAAGGGAAAGGCGCGGCCTTACCTGCCTCCATCGCGAACGCACGCTTTGTTATTGTTGGGTTGCTCACGGGCGCTGGGCTGTTGGCATTGTTTTTTTTTTCCTTTTTTTTTCCCTTTTGAAAAGAAAAGCATTGAGGAATCTTTTTGGAAAAGATATGGACAATGATGGTGAAGTACAGTGATCTCTGCAAGCGGGTGCAGGGCTATCTGGAGGTGCAGGTGGGGGTGTCACACAGGGGCAGGGCAGGCTCGCAGTGGGGGCTCTGCAGTTGGGGACGGTGGCATGCAAGTGGAGGGGGTTCCCTGAGATGGAACTGGTATGATGGAGCCAAGGCCCCCTTCACGAAGAAGAATCACACTGAGCAAGAGAAGGAGCAGCTTTGGGAAGGGGAAGACAGGACCTATGACCCATGCAGTGCTGGCTAGGGCCCCATGCAGTTGGACTGGCAGGAGACCATGGGGTAGGGAGCTGGGCAGCACAGCTGTCAGGGAACCTCCGGATCTTCCAACTCAGGGGTCCTGCTTTGGCCACGCCCTCCTCCTTACACCCCAGATCAACCCTGCCCCCCACTGCTGTCTCGCAGTTGGCATGGCCTTATGCAGAGAATCCACCGAAGCTGGCAAGTGCCTGGTCAAGCGTGTTGACGGGGAACAGCCCAGCAGCAGTCCCCATGGAGAGGATCTGGCAGCTTCTGGCCAGGAGACAAGGTGACTCAAGAAGAGCTTATGTTGCACTCAGGCACAAGATAATCTTCCAGGACCACACACTCTACAGATACCCCCAAGAAAATCCAGAAAAAGCCACGCACCATCTGGCCCATGTACCACCTGGGTTCTCACCTGAGGGAGAACTGGTGCTGATGCAGACCACATTCTAGATGTGCACTGCTGGGTCTGGCCCCCAGTGCCCGCCATGGGCTCTGTTCCCTCAGTCCCTGAGAATGCTTACCAGAACACATGTCTGCTGCCCATTGCTGTACCTCCCTGCTGGGCAGGCCACAGGGGCAGAGGGGGCAACAGAAGAGCAGTAAACCAAAGGGAGGAGACTCAGGTCAGAAGAAATAAGCATAGCAAGGTGATAGAGTGGTCCCCACTCTGCAGGTTGTGGGTCACAGGTCAGAGGGGACCAAAAGAGGATCAGCCTGGCCAGGGACATGACCCTGGACGCACAGGGAGGGCATGTTTCATTTGTGCTCTGTTCCTGGCCCAACTCCTAAGCTGGGTTGTGCCCATTGCCCCCTGCTGAGATGCCCAGACTGGCTGGGAGCTTGGCAGAGTAGTGCTGGGAGCAGCCTGGACACAGGCCTCTTCTCACGCTTCAGTCACTTTATTCAACACCATGCCTTTGGCTTCCCATGTACATCCTGGGGATGGGGAGAAATGTCCTAAATGAGAATTGGAGACCTTGGCCAGGGGTCAGAATAAAGGTCATTTTGGGCTTGTTCTTGGGGCATCTTCTCAGCTAGATGGCAGTGGACACTTGTGGCCAATCAGAGACCCAGTGGTGGTGGGGTACAATGCAGACAGCCCAGGTCTCAGGACTCCAGGGAAGGCCAAAGGGCTCAACACTTGGGAAGGGGGTGCCTGGGATCCCTGGCTCAGCTTCTGGCTAGCCTTGGACATTTCCACCAGCACAAAGGAACAACATCTACTGTCTTGTCCCTCTGGCTTCCTCCAGGCCCCCGTCAACCAGCTCTGTTCCATCGAGTGTCACAATGCTACTCATTAAAGGGATTAGCAGTGCACTTTTATGGGCCTTGGCTGCAGCCATGCACCAGAGTTCCAAGTTAATCACCCATGCCACCTGGTGGGAGCAGGAGCCTGCTCCAAATCCACAGCTCCCTAAATTCCAACAGTGAGAAGGGGGTGCTCTTCCCAGCCTTGACAGCAGCCTCATAGA